TCCCCACCAAGCGGGACATGTGTCAGGAAGCAGTGGGCTCCAAGCCAAGTGTGAACATGTCTCTGTTTGGGGCCAGGGTGGTGGGGAGCAGCACCCATCAGGCAATGTTTTGAATGAATTGACCTCAGCCCAGATCTTCTTGGTCCCCCAGTGTCAGTCTCTCCACTCATACAGACGGAAGGCAGAGGGCATGTTCTCCCGGAAGGGATGCTGCTTAAAGAAATCACCATCAAGCCAGGGGAAAAGAGAATGTTAAAGAAGGGGAATTAATGGAAACTTACAAGGGGAAACAGGATTAGCTCCTGTTGACTTAGCCAAACTCTGGAGGAACTCCATGGGGCATCTCGGGTCTGTCCCTGAAGCTCAGTTCTGCTTTTCAGGATTTAGGACAAAGGGCAGCCTGACTGCCTGGGGCAGGTGCTGAGGGACCCATTCTCTTTGGCCCTGGGTTCCATTATAAGTTTTATTTGGGCCTCCCTTCCAGCCTTCAAAATATTTGTCAATTCACTGATTAACCGAGGGGCGTTCAGAGGAGGACGAGCAAAGACCTCAATCGAGTAAAGCAGTAGCTGTTCATTACGGGCTCATCATGAACCAGGCACACGGCATGTATCCCTGTCTTTCATGTTGATATTGTCCCCATTGTACACGAGAGCAGCCTAAGGCCCAGAGAGGACAATTCACCGGTCCAAGGTCACACAGCTAGGACACACTGATGTTATTCAAGCCTGGAGAAGAGCAGACTCAGGGGCAGACTTCCCAAAGTGGGCACTTAGAAGAGGGGTCGGGCTTGTTCTGTATGACCCTGAAGGGAAGCCTTTGGTTCTCCGCTTGTTCCTCCTTGGCATTTCCATGACCTGAGGGCTCTCAGCAGATCGAAGTGGGAGACTTGAGGCAAAGGATGGGACAGAAGGGTCTCTGAGGGTGGGAGACGTGGATTCACATCCTGACACTTGCTGGTCATGTCAGCTGCCTGGGCCTCACTCTTCTCGACTGTGAAATGGGATCCAGTGATCACAGCAGGCCACTCTGCTTCACTCTGCCTTTCAGTGGCTCCCTCGCTCGAAGGATCAAGTCCAGCCCCTTCCTAGTGTGGCTTAGAGACTCCTGAGCATTCAGGCCCAGCTCTGCTCTCCAGCTTCCTGTTTCCCCAGAAGCAAGCTGTTTCTCGGGCCACAAGCGCTCCCAGTCCTCTTTGTCGTCCAGGCCCTAGCACCTGCTGCCTCCTGGGGCCCTCTGTTGAGCTTTCCTGGGTGAGAGAGAACGGGGTGGCATTTGAACGCGGGCACTGGGGATTGCCACGCCGATCATTGCCAGAGCACGCCCAGGCGTCCTGTGTACCCCACAGGTGAGCATCACCCACTATGCACTTTCCAGGGAGGGCAGCTCTGGTATGGACTGGACACAGGCTGGCCCCATCCAGCCTCTAGGTGGGCAAGATCACCTGTCTTCTTTCTCACTGCTCATTCTGGCCCCCTACTCAAGTAGGCAACAGCAGCTCTGGGGGCGGGGTGGGCAGGAGAAACCCAGGTGGGTGCAGATGGGGCAGTTAAGTTCAATGTTCTGACGAGGCAGAGGCAGAGGCCACGATTTCCAGACTAACCAGCTTATTCCTCAGATTTAAGTGTTAAGGACCCCGGGGTAGGACTTGCTGGGAAAGCCTACTCAGACCCCAGCATGCCACCAGGACTTCAAGCTGGAGGTTGAAAACGCAAAGGTCTCTGGGTCCTGGGGAGCCATTATAATGAATGGAGTCACAGCAGCAGCCCTCATGGACAGATGCAGATTCACAGAGATGTCTCAGTCGGAGGTAAAATATCAGTGCTGTGGTAAATGGTGCCTCAGTGTTGGAGAGCCCAGGGGAACGTGGGACCCAGCTCTTCTCCCCTTGGAGTGACTGCTGCCTTCCCCCAACTGCAGCCCATTGTCCCTGCGGGAATGCGAGCCCTGCACCACCCAGGAGCGGGTGCTGTCAGACCCCTCCCCTCCTTACACCTTGCTCTGCATACTTACGCTGCACTCTGGAAACTTCCAACTGCCTGCATCTCTGGGCCTGAAGGCTTGTTCCAGAATTCTGGAATGCTGTTCTGCCAGCAAGGCTGTGCTGGGGAATTAATATTCCCCTGAAGCAGCCTTCAGCCAAAGTCTGACAAGGATTGATGCAGGAATACTCCAGCCCGCCCCTTCCCCCTCGGGTAGAATAATTCCAAGGCACCGGCTTTATACCGTTTCCTGGAGGGCTTCTGCTCCAATTGCCCAAGGGGGCGGCTGGCTCACCAGTGCACCCTTCACGAGCTGTCTCGCTCCCCTCCCCCCCGCCCCCCCGCTGGCTCCCAAATAAACACTTTGCTCCCTAACCCTTATCTCACCATCAACCCCAGGTGTTACTCAAACCAAGACACCTGATGTTCTAGGGGAAGTGGAAAGCTGGTTTTCATATAAAACCCCTTATCTTTTAAGTGTCGGCCTCTAATGCCAATTGTTAAAGACGAAACCAGACACTGTGTGGGCCACACATCCACAGGGTAGATTCGATCCGTGGCCGGTGGTGTGCGGGGCTACGCGCGCCCTGGGCCCTGAGTGCTTGGACATTGCAGTCATGGCTGTCCTCGTGGGTGTTCTCTTTTAGCACCTTGGCTGACTTCCTCCCCGGCATCTCATGAGGATGCCCGCTCCTTGTTGTCACTGCCCCACCCCCCTTCCTTCCTCCCTTCTTTCTCATGGTCCGATTTTCCTGGGCAAGCCTCTCCCGCTGAGCCTTTACTACTTGCTTGTTCTTTCAATAAACCGCACAGCAGCGTTTAGCAAGGGGTTTACTAGCTACAAGAGGATTTTATCTCCAGGGAACCTGTTTACTGTTGGTAACCTTTGTCCGGCTGTTCCAGAAATGGCTCCTTTAAGAGTTACCTCCAAGCTCAGATCAATAGTGTCCTGTGGTGTTTATGCCTGGCCTGGTTCCCCAGGGTCCCCGCTCTCTGTGGGGGTCACCGTACCTTTTGGGTAATGCCGCAGAGGGCTCTGCAGGTGTGGGCTGAGTTAAGGAAGCCAAGAACCCAGGGTATCAGGTGACCAGGAGGTTTTACCACAGCAGCATGGATGCCTTGAGGTATGAACTTTGACCCCCAGTGCCCCTCAGGCTGCTACAATCTCCTCCGGCCAGCTCTTGCTCCTAGCCTGCGGCGCCTTGAGAATGGTGCAAAGGTGGGATGGGGCCCCGAATCTCCATCCTTAACTTTTTCTCCCCACCCCCTGCCAGGGAGCCAGGCAAACCTTCTTGTCTGCTTATCATGGCTTTTAGTCCCATATGCTTATATTTTCAGGTTTCTGATAGCTACAAAGTGATCTGTAGAATGCCAGAGTCTTGAAAATGTTGTTTGGCAAAAAAAAAAAAACAAAAAACAAAAAACACTTTTCATGATGAAAGAATTTTACCCATAAAAATGGTTCTGAGTGAATTCTGGTAAGCTGGGGCAAAGAAAAGCTGAACTTCTCAGAGCCTTTAATATACTAATGTGCGCTCTAACTTCCTAAGAGCAGTTGGGTGACCACAGTTCCTCCAGACACACTTGGGGACACACTGATGCAGACTCCAGTGCTGGGCCTGCCGTGAGCAAATGACACAGGTCCCAGGCCCCTGCTGGTGGTCACACTGCTTCCCAGTTGGATCCAGCGGACTGTCACTCCCTCAAGAGACCCTGGGGAGTATTTGGCTCCTTCCGAGGGTTGGGTAACTTGGGGTATAATGGAGGAAGATTCAGGAGTTCCACAAGGTCTGAGAGCAGAGAGGAGAGATGGCTCCAGTCTGGGCTGGTGACTGAGGGGGTAAGTGGGTGGGAAGGTTTCCCGGCTTCTCTGCTCTATGATTATGGCAATGTGTTTCTCCGGGAGGTCATTTGCGGTAGGAAACATAGCCCAGAAATTAAACTAAATATATCCAGTCCCCAGGAGAGTGGAGACAGCAGCGGCACCTGATTGGGGGTGGGGGGTGGGGGGTGGCAGAGTACTCAGGCTGGGATGTCACTGCACACGGCTGAATTTTTAAGGGTTGGGAGGAAAATGGTTTGAGTTCCCAAGGCCCAGCCTGGGCAGAGGTAGAGGTTTGAGTTTTGGGGGAGGGGTCCCATTCCTTCCTATCATGCCTCCCTCTGTTGTCACCCCCTCACTCCAGGTACTCAACTGCTCACCAGTGCGCAGCCCTTCTCTGCTTCTTCAAGGTTGCTACTGTCCCCATCTCACCTGGGTCCCCAAAGCCACAAAGCTTTACCAGCTCTGTCTTCTCCTGTTCCAAAATGAACCTTCTCCCTTCTCCCTGGGGAAACGCCTACTGCCTCCAGGTGGCTGTTTGGAGACAAAAGGGCCAAAATCTAATTCGCACTATAGTTATGAGGACTGATAAAGCCATATAACAACAACTTGAAAGGATTCCATTAAATTTCTTAGCCGAAAGGGTCTTTAGCAATCTCCTCATGTGGTTTTTGAGATTTTGTTGAAGGCCCAAGGAAATCTTAGGTGCCATTTCAACACGTGAAGCAGAAAATATACAGGTGCTCTGGGTGAGAGGCACTGCCTGCTTTTTCAGCTGACTTTGGAACCACTGATTACATGTTTCATTCTCAAGGAACCTCGGGCTCAGATAAGAGAAGTGACTTGTCCAAGGTCACAGGGCCAGACAGTGGCAAAGCTGGGACTTGTCCCCTGGTCCCCTGACCTCTAGCCAATGCTCCTGTCCCTGCCCTAGAACACCTGCGTATTCATGTCAGAACCACATTCTTGCAGCCGGCTCTAAGCACAGTTCCCACCAGCCATCCTGGTAACATAAACAACGATCATCACACCCCCCTGCACGTAGCCGCCCCTCCCTGTGTCTTTCACTTCTCAGGAGCTTTCCTCTGCCCTGCTTCGTGCTAGAAGTCACCCTTTTCCTACTGCTGCTCATTTTTGTTCTTGTTAATTTTTGGTTGCTGCCGAGAACAAATGCAAAAAGAAAGGCAGAGACACACTTCGGATTTTGCTCACTGCATGTTTTCATTTTTAATTAAATAAGTCAAGTAAGCCATCAAGTGATGGTTCACATTCTGTTCCACAAAGCAGACCCTGACCGGCGGTGGCCCTTGCATTTCCAGGAGACGGCAGATGGCAGCCATGGCAAGGACGTCTGGGACGTTTGATGGCAAGGTGGCTGAGCAGAAGGAGGTGCATGCTACACATACACATGTGTGGACACATATGTACACACATGACCACGAAGGGAGTGCCCCCTACCACGTGGCCATGAAACATGAAAACAGGGCCGAGATCTTGGCAAAAAGACAGAGTTTGCGGGATCCAGGAGGGAGCAGGGGAGCCAAGCAAACTTGGCCTAGAACATACAGACGAGATGGAGACTTCTGGGGCGCCCAGTTCAAGCCCAATGGCAGTGGACGCAGGGTATTTTCCCAAGTAAAATACCTGGTCTACATTATGAGCCGGGCCCATGGGGATGGCACCGCGTCCACATCCTTGGAAACCCACAACTCATTCGTCCCCCAGGCACAGTCATGGAATGACAGACGACACAGGACCAAAGGATCTCCAAGCTCTTAGGGCATCTGAATTTGCCAATTCTGCTTCAACCTTCTGAGGTAAAGGGCAGCTCCCACTGTTCCTGACCCTGGGCAGCCGAGAGGTGCTGTGGTTGCAATCAGGAAGCCTTCTGCCTCTCATCCGGCTGGACCATCTCCCCAGCAAACCCACCAACGTGGGACCCTCGGAGTTCCGTGGATGCTCCTTGTGCTTTTTGCAGATCGGCAAGACCTACTTGGCTTCTGCAGATGCATTTCCCCGTGCCCTGCCCCTTCTCTTCCTGACCCAGAATCAATCCCTTCAGGACATGCCTTTGCTTTCAGCCTTGGGGATGGGAGCAAGGGACTGCCTCGGGGACGCGGCCATCTGCTCTTCTGCTCCCATTCTTCATAATCCAGGGCCTAGCAAGGGGCAGGCCCTAGGGTCAAGACAGGCTCTAATGTGGGAAAGGACCACCGGGGCTGGAAGAGACCTCTGGAATCAGGACCCGACTATCTGATGCTTACCTCTCCAGGCCAAGCACCCATCTATTGGCACAGGGATCCCCTGACTTCCTGCTGGAACTTGCTCCATCATCAGACAGGACAGTGGTGGTGGGGAAAGATGCCACTGTAATGGGTTGGGTGGGCCCTCTGCTCTCCGGGGTCCTGTCAGCAGCTGCCCCGTTAGACCAGCCCCTGGCGGAGGGTACTGGCAGGGAGTAAATCTTCATTAAACATTTTTTTCCTATTCATTTAGTTATTTATTTTCAAGTGTATGTATCACATAAAGGGTGATTTTGTTCATGTCCTCAACCTTAGTAAGAACTTGGTGATAATCTGCAGCGGCGGGGGCAGGAGGGTGGGGTGGGGTAGAGGGGGAGTGCCACAGAGCTGCCAATCTGCGTATGTTTTTCTCTCTGTGGGGACTCAGGGACCCTGGTCCCCACCGACTGTTCCCAAAGACCCCCGCCCCCAACCTGGTGCCCTTAGCCCCTCCAAGGTTTACAAACAAGGCCAGAGGAGAAGCCAGGAAGAGGCGGCCACAGTGACAGCCTGTGGGTGTTAAGACACTGCCCTGTCTCACTAAGGCCTGGAATGTTCTGAACTATTTATATAGGCCAGGCTAAAGAGGTCTTCATCAAGAAAAAGAAAATGAGTAAACACTCATTGCTGAATGGGCCAAGCTGGCAGCCCCAGAGGCAAGGCCTCAACAGCTCCCTCCGCCTGTCGGCAGGTGGACTCTCTGCAGGCGGTGGGGGGGGGGGGGTGGGGGGGGGGTTCCCGTTAGAGCCAGCCAGAGCAGAAGAGAAGCCCGGGGTTGGCCTCGATGGAAGAGGCGGCACTCGCCCCAGATGGACCACCTTCCTCGACCCAGCTGCCTGCTGAAACCCCCCAGCGCATACCCCAACCAGGTCCCCCAGAGTGTAAAGTCAGTAGTTGCCCCTTCCCCAAACCCCGAGGGTTCCCAGGGCGCTGCTGAGCGCTCTCTTGAGTTGTGTCCTGTTTCAGACACCAGGGCAAAGGGAATACAGCAGAAAGGGCCTTCAATGTCACATCTTCCAAGCCGTAAGAAAAAAACCAAGGTACCTCCTTAAACACCACCCCAGGGCCCGTGCAACCCCCCGCCCTTGGGGTTTACTCTTCTCTTGTATTCTGAATCATCATCTTCCAGTGTCCTTGTGTGTATGGCGCAAGTCAACGGTTTCTATTACTATTTCGTCTTTCTTGATTTGGGTACAGCTTTGAGTCCCTGCAAATAATAAGGTATTTAATGTCTCTTTATCACAAAATCAATAAATTAAGTCAACTTGCAGTGTACAAATTGTCAATATCCTGAGAAATCCCAAAGGTCCATTTTTGGCACTGTCCTCAGAGCCTGGGGGTGGAGACCTTGGCCCCAGAGGCACAGGAAAGAAGGAAGAAGTCTGCTATCCGCACCAGGGGGGCCCCAAGAAGAGCCCCAGAGGGAGGTGCCTTTGTCCCTGCCTCAGCCCCCACCAACCACAGGTGGGACACTGCAGGGAGCAGGGGGGCTGGGGAGGAAAAGCCAGCACTTCTGTGCTCGCCAGAAACATCCTGGTCTCGCTCTGCCCGGGGTCAAGTTTTCAGGGCTGGAGTCCCTTTGGACCCCAAATTTGAGCCAGCTCCCTGCACAACTTATTCTGGGACTGGAAAGCCAACACTGGAGACCACCTTGAATGGCTCTAGTCCATGGTGATGGAGACCCAGCAGCTCCAATGCAGTGATCAGAACAGACCCCACAAAATGGCTGCGGTCCTCACCATCTCAAAGAGCAACTTCTGGCCAGGACACACTCCCCATGGCAGCACCAGCTGGACTCAGATCCTCTATTTCCCTCGTGTCCGTATTACTCAAACCGAAACTCAGCCCTCTGGGTTTGACAACAGGACAGATCTGACAGAGGAGTTGTCCAGGAAATCAGAAACAGCCCTTGGGAACTCGTTGTGCAGCTCTTCAAGTTCTGAGGGGGACTGAGTTCTGCTCCCCAGTTTGGGGACATTTGCTGCTTGGCCATAGGCCCCTGACCCCCTAAGAAATGCATTCGGACCTGGAAGAGATGTTCAAATCTGGCCTCATCTCAGGGAGAGGGCGAGAGCTAATTTATGTTGCTTCTGGACCACACAGCAAAGAACCCTGGCGGTTTCTGAGATTCATTTCACACGGGGCTCAAACAGAAAAGCCCGCGGGGCACTGCAGACTGCCATGTGGCTGCCTAGGCTCTGATCCTTCCTCCCCCTCCTCTCCCTCAGGCAGGAGCCAGAGTGCTCCCTGCTGGTCCTCCCAGCCCCCTCACACCCAGACTGCTTCTGAGCTGCACTCCTGCAGAAAGAAAATCAAAAACAAAGCCACAAAACAAGATACCAAACTGTAAGTTTTTTTTAAAAAAACCCAAACAAAACACCCAGCCTATCCCAAGTTGAGCAACACTCTTCCCAGAGCCCTAAAAGTTGGAATTCCCAGACTCTAACCATGTAACCATGGTGACCAACCTCTGTCCCCTGTCTTCTCAGGGGAGGGGGTATCCTGATGTGACTTCTCCCCCAAGAGCGCTCCGCACTCTCTTCTGGGCCCTGCCCCGCACGAGGCCTGGCTGAAAATGGCAGGACTCATCTGCTGCCTTTTGCCTCCAGTCAGGCCCGAGGCAGCCTTCACACAGGGACATGCTCTGGGGGAGCCAGCCCAGCTGGGACGGGGCATTTGGGCTGTAGTCATGTGAGGGTTGGCCACACCATTTCAAAACATCCTGCCTGCCAGCAGGGAGGATGTGAATAGGCCAGAGGAGGTAGCCAGGAGAAACCAAGGCGGACAGGGGCCGCAGACTCAGCCCTTCTGTGTCTACCGTTCAGTTCCAAACCTGGTCGGGAACAGGGTCATGGTCTGTGACCATATTTCCTTCCCCAACCCCAAATAATTCTAAAAATGTAATGAAAGTCTCCTCTTGAGGTGTGTGATAGTTAAATCCCGTGGGCATAAAGCAACAGGGAAGCTTGCCTGTGTATGTGTGTGTGGATTTGGGTTTCTACATTGTTTGGGTCTGTGTGTGGTATACGTAGAGGCCTTGTCTTTACACACGTATGTGTGTTTTACAGTTCTGTGCAGGGCTGATTTCATCAGTAACCAGCACGGCTCTTCCACTTTTGAAAATACTGAATCATTCTTGTTGAAAAGCCCCAACTGCCATCCTCGGACATTCTGGGCTATTCCAGTCCCTTCCCCAGGGACCCATGCGGATTCCACACTGGATTGCGAAGAAATCCAGAAACTGAAAGATGACCGCTGAGTACAGCAGGAGGTCGGCTGTGACTGGTCCCGGCCCACAGCCCCTTCTGGTTCAACACTGGGACTCTGGCCCACAGGGTCTGCAGGCATTTATGGGTATTTTGTGTGTGTGTGTGTGTGAGAGAGAGAGAGAGGCTTGTCGATAGTTCTGGGCCTGCGTGGGCCTGCTCTGGAGACGGCAGCCCCTTAGGTCCGGGCCTGGTGGCCCTCACGGGACAGGCGCCGTCCGGCGCTGGGTGACAGACCCCAGGCCCCAGGCTGCGGCGGGGGAGCTAGCTGGCCGGGGCGCCTACTGCTACTACCCCAGGCCGCCCGCCTGCCCGCCCTCCGCGGGAGCCAGCATCGCACGGCCCGGCGGGATGGCAAGGGTGGGCCCTTCACAAGGAGGGGTGCGCGCGGGTCCGGGGCCGCCTACGTGACCCAGAAGGTTCCGCGCTCCTCCAGCAGGCTGACGGAGCGGTTGGTGAGGGCGGCGGCATCCCGCGCCAGCCGGTAGCCGAAGAGGTGCATGGCGGGGCCGCAGGCGTCCTGCACCACCTGCGCCAGCTTGAAGGGCATGCTGAAGCGCCACTTCTCGAACTGCTCCGAGGAGTTCTTCTGCGTGGAGTAGATGCCGCTGCCGTCCTGGGCCGCCTGCGTGTTCCTCTGGATCCAGTCCTCCACCTGCGCCGTCAGGGGGATGCCGGCGAAGCGGTACATCTCGCGCGCCTTCTGCAGCGGCCAGCGCGCCACGTCCTCGTAGCGCACCAGCATGTAGCGGCCGCGCAGCCAGGCGGGCTGCCGGAGGCCCAGCTCGGCCGACAGCCGGATGCTCTCACAGTTGCCCCGCAGCCGCTGCACCTCCTCCTCCCCCAGCCGCCCCTGCCCCTCGGCCAGCCACTTCTTCCAGCCCTCGTACTTGCCGGCGAAGGCCACCATGCGGGAGGCCAGCACGGCCCGCGGGTCCCGCACCAGCTGGATGACGCGCAGGTCCAGCCGGGGGTCCTCGGCCAGCGGCTGCAGGAACTCCAGCTGCCGGATGCGCACGGCCTTGAGGGCCATGTGCTCCTTGCGGCGGCAGGCCTCGGCGGCCAGCGTCACGTTGAGGGGCCCGCAGCGGCGGTTCTTGCAGTGGTACTTCTCGAAGACCTTCTTGACGAAGGGCGTGCACACGGGCTCCTCGCACAGCGAGCGGCTGGAGCCGCGGCGGAACATGAACTGGGTCAGGTGGTCCTCGGGCAGGGGGCTGATGAAGTGCTCCAGCACGTACAGGTCGCACAGGAACAGCTGCTTGAGCACGTCGCGGTAGACCAGGGCCGAGCCGGCGGCGCTGGCGCCTCCCGACTCGAAGGACACCGTGCGCTCGATGTGCCACAGTGGCTCGAAGAGGTAGAAGATGTTGCCCTGCTGGTTGAAGAACTCGCCCACGAACGAGGAGCCGGTGCGGGTGGTGGCCATGAGGAGCACGTGGCGCCGCGGCGGCGGGGCCCCGGGGGGCGACGGTGGCACCTCTCCCCCGACCCCGGCCTCTGCCTCCGCCTCCGCCTCCGCCTCCGCCCCGGCCTCCCCTACTGCCTCAACACCCAGTTGCAGACTGAGGTTTCGCAGGCGGCCCTGCAGCTGGGTGAAGGCCGAATCGAGCTCACTCAGGGACAAGAGGGACGCATTGTCGGCCAAGAACAGGGCTGGGTCGGTGCCGTTGGCATCTAGCAGGGGTTGTGGGATCTGCTTCAGCTTGTCTGACACCCTAAGAGGACAAAGGGAAATCGGAATCAGTGAGTGACTGGGGACTCCATCCCTTGTGCACCCCCAGGCAGCCTCCCCGGGGTGATCTCCCAGAGCCTGTCTTAGCTGGGTTTCCCCAGAAGCTGACTTGGAGGCAAGGATCTGAGTGTTAAGTAGTTTATTTGGGACATGATCACAGGAAGAACTGGTAGAGAGGTAGGAAACGAGGTGGGGAGAAAAAGAGGTCTGTAAAGGGTGAGCAGGGTGTCCCTATGGGCAAACCAACCCCCCCCCCCCGGGGCATCCTGGTAGATAGTGTAGAACACACTGGAGGATTCTCTCGCCCAAGGGACAGGAAAGCTCCAGCTGGCCCTGGCTGAGGGCTGCTCCTGGAGGCATTTGCTCCCTGGATTCCTAGCTTGCCGGTGGGCAGGTCGAGAGAAAGCTCTCTGGTGGAGAGCTGCAGGGGCTAGTAGTAGAAGCCTGTGGGCACGAACTGGAACAGTCCATGCTGAGGAACCCAGGTGGGGCAGTGACACAGTGCCTGCTACACAGCCCAATTCCTAATCTATCCATGGTGGCTGCTTTCTTGCAGGGTGTTGCACTGGGAGAGCACGTCTAAAATCTTTTGTGTGTCTAGCAGGCTCACCAGCAGAGCCACTGCACACAATGGTACCTTGCCAATTTCAGGGGGCAGCATTCCCAGTGTAGCGGAGGTGAGTGTACACCCCTGGAATTTAGCAGTATACAACCTGGACAGCTGTACATGGAAGCCCTGCCCACCAGGGTACATGTACCAGGACCCTGCCTTTCCATGGGCTCACCCTCACCCATGGCTTCAGGCTGGTATAGCAGATGTGCTGTTAATGTGAGGCATCATCCTAGCCAAGAAATAAATTAATAATAATAGCCATGGTCAGTAAGTACTGGATACCAACTGCATGCCAGGCACTGAGCTAAATGTTTTACATTTCCTAATTTAATCTATAAGGAAAGCCCCATTGTTAGCCGTATTTTACAGAAGAGGAATTTGGGACACAGAAAAGTGAATTTGTCCAAGCTGTCACAGCTAACAAACGGCCGGAATCAAGATTCCACCCCAGGCTACCTGAGTCCAGAGGCCAAGTGTCACCCCTGTGCATTCCTGGGGGCGTGGGCCGGACCACTTCCCCGGGCACAGGAGGAGCCTCATGATTACTGGTTGAAGGACTGCCTTTGTAGGTCCACAAAGAGCCCTATAGCTACCCCTCTGCCCCACCCACCCCTCCCTGATAAGGAAGACTTTTGCGCTTGCATCCCTCACCTTGATATGATTTTATTTTCCTTTTCAATGAAGACAAAAACCACCACCACAAAAGCCAGGAAAAGGGCATATTTGCTCCTCATCCTCAGGCTGTGCAGAAAGTCCCGGCAGTCCTGGGGTAAAGCGAGTCCTTTCTCCATGGGGAAGGGTGGGGCCATGGGCCCTCAGCTCAGGAGCATCGCTCGGGACCTGGCTCGTTGTCTTCAGGTGGGGGACGCCCTCGTCCTGTGAAGAGACCGGTGGTGGTCAGGACACCCTTGTCTGGAGGTGAGGAATGAAGAGTTTTCCCACCCAACTTTTGAGGGTTGTGGCCCTGCTTAGCAGCCAGATTCCAGATCCACTCTCCCAACGGATGAGGTGAAATCAGGTCATTTAAAATGCTAATCAGCCCTTGGATTCATTCATCCCACTTCCATCAACTTATCCTTTGACCTCACATGTAACTCAAGGGCAAGTACATGGAAAAGAATGTTCCTTGCACTATAAATGTTTGCAATAGCAAAAGACTACAAATACCTAAACAAAAAATGATGGAGATGGATCTATAAGTGTTGATGTGAATAACCTAAATATATATATTAGATCCTAGGGAGGAGGCCTGCAGGGCCAGCTCCAGGGCAAGTGGAATATTCCTGCCCCTTCCTAATTCTTCTGGGCCTTTCTCCACATACTCATGAAACAGCTATTTCCTGAGAACTCACTCTGTGCCAGCGTCTGGTCTAGGCACTGAGGACACAGCAGTGAGCAAGCACAGCTGATCCATGCCGTCGTGGAGCTGACACTCGGATCGGAAGGGCCACCTGGAATGATCTGGTAGCTGAGATTTATTGAGTGCTTACTACTCTGTGCCAGGTGCCAGGTGCCATGCTAAGCACTTGATTTGCATTTCCTCAATCCGATCCTTACAGAAGTCCCATTAGGTGGCAGCTCTCTCATTTTACAGACCAGGAAACTGAGGTTGAGGGGTTAAATAACTTGTCCAAGTTTCCCCCAGCAGCAGCCCTCATCATCCCTCCAAGATCTAGGTCATTCGAGCCTCTCAGTGCTCCCCAGTCACCCCCACTGTAGCATATATGGTTGGGCTTTCCAGCTGATGGTCTGTCTTCCCTTCCCAGACCGTGAGCCCCCTGAAGTAGGGACTAGCGTCTAGAATGGCACCCAGCATATAACAGCTGCCCAACAAAACACGAGTGAGCAAACCTGTCAAAGCTGGTGCCTGGCTCAGTGCCTGGAGCCTCAGAGGCTGTCAGCATGAGTTTGCAGAATGATGGGCAGAGCCATGCTCCACACACCCTGTGGGGTGTGAGGCCATCTGTCTCTCTGGAAGGATGAGATTCAACGCTGAGTCTGCAGAGCAAAAGGGATTGAAATCCTGACTTTCTGCCCTCTTGTCTTTTGGCTGAGAGTTGCCTGTGTCTGATGATGTGAGGGAAGCAAAAGGAGCTGGGATCCTGGGTTCTAGTCCTTTCTGCATGTCTACCATGCTGTGTAACCTTGTAGGAGTGACTTAACTTCTCTGGGTCTCGGTTTCTTTACCTGCAGGATGAAAAACCTGCACGTAAGGTTGCTGTGAGGAATAGTATCTGGGACACGGTAAGTGTTCATTAACTACAAGAGAGGTGAAAAGGCAGGGGTGGGTGGGGGAAGTTGCCCTCACTGTCCTCTCCCTTCTGAGTCTTTAGTAAGATTAAAAGTTCGGCTGCCTCGATGATGAGCTCCTGCACCTTCTCCTCCCCTCCCTTGCAAGCACTGTTTCTATTTTTGAGTTGTCATCGCGGTCCGCTCCCCCGCCCTGAATAATACAGGGTTCCTAAGAACGTTCCCGGCACTGCCCTAAAAGGAAGAAGCGATGGTGAAAACTCTGACGTGAAACACCAGGCAGGCTGTTGGCACCTTCTCCCTTCCCAGCAGGCTGCCCTTGGCTTCAGCTCTGGAAGCCCAGCGGATGCTGGGCAGGCAGGTGAGGGAGGTTTAGAGGTCCCAGGGGGCATGTGGGAGGTCCTCAGACCCAGGAGGTGGGAGAGGGCCGTAGGGGCCAGGAGGTCACAGGGTCACCAGGGAGGAAGATGGGGTCAGGATGGGGGTCACCTGGCAAAGCTCCTGGCCGAGGCCCTCTGTAAGAAGTGGGTCTGTGACATCTGTCAGCACTAGTCAAACCTTTGTGCTACTCCCTCCCAAAACCCAGGGTGCACCCTTGCTTAGCTCATGGGAAGAATGAAACATAGTTTCCTTCTCTTGGCAGATGCTGCCTCCCAGGGGAGTGAGTACTCGATACATTTTCTCCCCTTCCATCCAGCAAGCGATGTGACAGCCAAAGGAAAAGGTGGGATGCCAGCCGAGGTCCCATTTCCAGGGCACCAAGGCCAATGGGGAAGAAGGCCAGAAGCACGGGCCAGCCCAGCTCTGCCGGGACGCAGCAGGGGTGGGACAGCTCCCCTTGGCCCAGTCATCCCCAGTGCTCAGCTCTGGAGCCCTCCCCCGGAGCCCTGCCCTGACCACCAGCCTCACGCTGACCATCGCCCCTCCCCCATCACTTCCCTTCTTAGCATCCTGCTTTATTTCCTTCCGGGACGGAAATGTACTGGTTTCTTGCCTAATTCACCCACTGCTGTGTAGGTTCCATGAGAGGAGAGCTTCGTCCGTCTGTTCCACCTCAGGACTCTGTGCCCAGAATCCCCGAGCCCTCCTCTGTGTGTCCCAGGCACAGAGCAGGTGCTCCAGAATACTTGTGGAATGAATCGATGAATGCCTTTTCCAAAGCATCCAGCCCAGCGGGAGATGCTCACTCATTCTAAGTCGATGGGACATATGAAGAAGAAAAAGCGCTTGTTCCCTAGACGAGCAAATCACGTGTGTGCTATGATTGTGCCCTATGGGTGTGTGCTCTGAGTATATGCCCCAGGGTGTACTACAGACAAATACTACGAGTGCGTCCTATGGGCAAAACTTCACACTTGGGGCTTCACATACATCAGGCTCTCTCTTTTTTTTTTTTTTTAAAGATTTTATTTATTTACTTGACAGAGAGAGAGCAAGCACAAGGAGGGGGGCAGCAGAGGACAGGGAGAAGCAGTGGGGAGCCTGATGTGGGCCTCGATCCCAGGACCCCGGGACCACGACCCGAGCTGAAGGCAGACGCTTAACGACTGAGCCACCGGGGCGCCCCCACATACATCTGTCTCTTGAATTATCACTATCAATCTGGGATGTCATTTTGAGGATGAAGAAACGAAGCCCTGGGGCTTTCAGTCGAAGCCTCTACAGCGATGTGTTAATGATGGGAGGGCAGGAAACGGCCAAGGGTACCCCAGACAAATCTGAGTGAGGGAATACTGCAAAGAAAGCGGGCTGGGCTAAGGCCCCAACTCTAGGCACCAGCCTCCCTATGCTCCTCTCCCCTCGGGGGCCTTTCTAGCCAGGCCTCCCTCCTGTCCTGCGGGGGGTGGGGGGCTCACTAGACAACAGTTTTCTACTTGGATGCCTCCCAGCCTGCCCCTGCCTCCCCTAAGGGAAGGTGGGGTCCCAGAGTTTGCTGGGAACGGAGCTCTGATAAGGGACAGGCCCTGCCAGACATTGCATCAGGCAGCAAAACTCCACTCCCCTCACTTGCTGGGGCCCAGAGCACAGTGGGGGCTGGGCCTCGGCAGGAGTAGGCCCTGCTCCCACCGCTGTTCCATCGGAGGAAGAGCCACACCAAGAAGAGAAGCTGAGAGAGGACAGAAGTCCAGATGGGGGGGGGGGGCTCTGTGGAAGGCTCAGTGTCTGACAGAAGAGTAAATGCTTAGGGGCTGTTGGACAAACCAGTGAGGGAAGAAAAGAGTGAGGAAGTGAATGAGTATCTGGCTGATGGTCCCCTGCGGAGCTCAGGGCCGTCCTTATTCCTCAAGCTTGCTCACATTCCAGCACTCCAGCTTCCTCTCCCAAGAACAAACCCCTCTAGGACCTCCTTACGGGCATGTGCCCAGCCTCAGCCAAGACAGAGACATTGGAGAAGCAGCCAAAGGTAAAGGTGTGTCTCACCTGAGCAGCAATGGACATCCAAGAGCTTGTGAGAAGTTATGGGCCACCGCCACGAGGTGGACCACAGGGCTCAGGGCCAGCCTGGTGGGGACAGGGCTGCCACAGACTCTCAGGGCATCAGCTCCGCCTGGGACAGACCCAGGCTGCCCCTCAGTCCTGTTTTGCTCTGTGGGGATGTGGGGGAACACACTCTCTACCCCCATTTGAGAGTCACTTTATCAGGGCTGGCTCAGTCCTATGAGCAAAACATCCTGTGTAAATCCCAGAGCCAACAGGTGCATGAAATACAGGGCCCCAGAGAACAGTCCTAGGCCTTCCTGTCAGCGAAGGCACTTCCAGCACCTCTCCCACCGAACCTGGGGCCCTCGGCCGGGTCGGAGCTGACCCCCACTCTGGGCTTTGCCCAGTCAGGGCCCGCAGTGGAAGCTGGTATCCAGGATGTCCAAAAGAAATGTGTCCTGTATACCACCTGGTGGGCCCTGAAAAAACATGGCTCTTGTCCTAACACTGCAGAATGTCAGCACTTGGAAATTTTCTTACCGACCCTTCCTCATTTTTTATCTATAGAAATGCAGGCTCCGAGACACCAAGGCATACCAGTGGATGGAGACAAAACTCCAACTACTACATGGGTCTCCTGTCTCCCAGGTTAGTGATGGCCCTGCCCCCCTTTATCACTCTGACTCTCACAGCTTAGCCCACTTAAGAAGCTTCATTACAGGGGGTGGCAAATACATGGTGCACACATCACCGCTCAGCAGTCCTGAGCCCGGAGCAGACATCCCTAATCAATCAATGGCCTCTCTTCAGCTGAGACTGGGATGTAGCCTCATAAACTTCATTGCAGCACCAATCCAGTAGCGTTGTCCTGTGAGATAAAACTGATTTGCCCTTCCAACTTTACAGGATCCTTCCTGGCTACCAAATGAAATTCCTCGCCACCTCTTAGTCTGACATTCTACAGCCTGACCTCACCCTGCGATGCCAGCCCAAACTCTTACATAAACCCTCCATTCAAGCACATGTGCCTTGTACACCCATCCTCCAAGCCTTTCATTTAGCCCATGAGGCCCTTTACTGAACAAAACACTGCAGATTGTAATTCATGGCAAAGGTTACTAAGAACTGTGAAAGCATCAAACATTGAGACCCCTCCCACCAAAATTGTGTTTTGAAAAGAACTGCAACTGACGCCAAGGTTCTTATAACCCCCCTCCCCCACGTGGCTTGTGCTTTCCTGAACGAGAGTGGAGGCGGAGTTACGGAGAGCTTAGGAAATTGCATAGAACCTCTGCCAATCCATTCCATACCACAGTTGGCAAAGATCTTTACACAGCTAATTTTATATTATTACTCACATGCCTTTATATATTTTTAGGAATAAGAGCCAAAACTTAAAAAAAAAGTCTCAGGGCTTCCCCACAAAATGTTTTTTTGGGGGCTCTGGCAAAATTTGGGTAAGCCCCCTGGAGTGTTTTGTTTTTTTTTTTTTTAAAGATTTTTTATTTATTTGACAGAGAGAGACACAGTGAGAGAGGGAACACAAGCAGGGGGAGTGGCAGAGGGAGAAGCAGGCTTCCCGTGGAGCAGGGAGCCCGATGCGGGGCTCGATCCCAGGACCCTGGGATCATGACCTGAGCCGAAGGCAGACGCTTAACGACTGAGCCACCCAGGCGCCCCCAGAGTGTGTCTTGAGTGTGAACATAATCTGCTATGGGTACCGTAGCAGAAGAAGGTTGAGGCCAGTTGCCTAAGGAAAGCGTATGAGGGTAAATCAAAATGATACATGATGCCCATTTCTTCACACATCAGATTGAAAGACAACATCTTCTGTGATCTTCTGTGCAGGTAATGTTAGGGAGAAACACCTGGCAGGCTGGCAAACACTCGGTGCTCATCAAGTGCCCGCATGCCCTCTGCCTTCCCCAGCCTGTGGAGGCATATGACCGGGAGCGGGTCAGTGAGATGTGGGTGGAAGTGACGTGAGCCGCCTCGAGGCCTGGTCCTCCAGATGATCCCACACGTTCCTCAGGCCCTCTCTTCTCTTGTTGTGGCCGCACTGGAGACCATAGGTTCCAGCTGGCTCAGTCCAGATGCCGAGCTGCTGACAGGAGAGCCCCTCCAACCTGCGTCAGAGGTGGTTCGAGGGAAAAATAAGCCTTTTTTGGGCAAAGCTACTGAGATTTGGGGGTCTGTAACTGCAGCATGGCCTGTTCCATCCCTAACTAAAACACGGGATCCTCTTGTCATGCTGATGGGAGTGTCCTTTTTGAAGGACAGTTTGGCAAAACCATCCCAATTCTAAGTATGCATGCTCTTTAACCCAGCAATTGTAGATACACTAGCGAAGTCACAAGGCCACACACAACAGGAAACCATGCACGATTGCAAAAGGCCGAAAATAATCTTAATGTCTGTTAAGAGGCACAAACATAAAAACCCAAACAAAAACTCGTTAGATAAATGATGGTACATTTGTCAGTGCAGTACTCTGCAGTGGTTAAAAGAGGCAGCTCTGTATGGGCTGATGTGAAATGCTGTTCAAGGCATGAGTGATACAAACAAGGGACAAGAGTGTGCAAAGTCTACTAACATCTGTGTAAAATCAGGGTGGACACACACACATGCTGGTACACAGACTGCCTCGAGAGAGGAAAATAAGAAATTGGCAAGAGCGGTTGAGGGGAACTGGGAAACGGGGGTGGGAATGGGGACCCATTTTTCACATACCTTCTTGTATTGTTTGAATTTGTTATCATGTTTATTTAATACTCTTTCCAAAGAAAAGGAAGTGGTTATAGGGGCGCCTGGGTCACTCAGTCAGTTAAGCATCCAGTTCTTGGTTTCAGCTCAGGTCTGTGGGCTGTGGGATCCAGCCCCACATTGGGCTCTGTGCAGAGTGTGGAGCCTGCTTAAGATTCTCCCTCTGCCCCTCCCCTTGCTCACGCTCTCCCCATCTCAAATAAATAAATACATCCTTTTTTTTTTTTAAAGGAAGTGGTTATAAAGTAAACTACAATAAAAAGAGTATATGGAGTTGTGCTCTAATCCATTGCCCTGTATACAGTTAGTGCTTACTGTTTACTTGAATGACCAAGTCTGCCTAAGAAGCTTTGTGATAAACTTAACCCAGCACAAGAGGGAGCCTGACAAAGATGGTGACTGTACCAGGTTTCCAGCATCTTGACCCAAAGAATGCGCTTAAGCTACAGACAGCAAACAATCCTCAACCCATGAGCCAAAGCCAATAGATTGGTATTGACTGCCTAGAGCATTGTGAGAAGACTGAAATCAAACTTGTTTTCCGAGAGAAAGAATGTGGTGTTTGACTAGTGATGTCTGCCATGTATGTAGGATGGGAAAGGGTCAACACATGTGTCACGTATTGGCCACTCTTACTTTAGGAGGAGCAGCCTAAGAAGGCTAGGAATCTCTGGGCCATGGAATTCCTTCCTTCCCTCATTCCTCATGTGCCCTATTATTTCCATTTTGGTCATACTCTATTACAAAATTCTGTGCTCATTTGTGGGCTTGGGAGCTTTTGTTAGTTTGATTGATCTGCCACCATTCAACCAGAAATGTGCGTAAGTACGTATACATGCATACGGGTGCATCAGGGGTGAAAATGTTCAGGAGAAGCCCGTGGCAGCTGTGGGGGGACCGGGGGTGCCTTTCAATATGGTCACACAGCTTTCCCATCTTGTTCTGCACCTTTGTGAAGATGAGCTCTACTACAACATTTCTGGGATCGCTGGGTATGAAAAAGCTCTCAAGGTGTAAGCCCAGGATCCCCTTCCTGCTCTATCCTACTTACTAACCTTCCTCA